TGTTCGGAATGGAGAGGACAGTTTCCGTTTCTTGGACATCTTCGGGGGGCTCATCAGCACCAGAGAAAAGGTTTCGCACTTCCTTGATCGACGTGCCCTGGAATCGTAAGGCAGAATCGATCTTATCCTTCCAGGACCGTGAATTGTGTTCTTGGAGACGAAACCAGGCATTATCGGCTGAAACCTTGGCTTCGCAAGACAGGCAGGCAGCTCCCTCGGTATCATAGCGGAATTTCTTTCCCCGGCCACGCTTGTCATCCTGCAAGCTCTTCCGCGGTTTAGAGTCGGCACTCTTACTCCTCCTTGTCTCTCCGCTAACACGTTCACTACGAAGTGTCCGGTGACTTGATCGAGCCCGTAGTCTGGATGAAGAGCGGCGCTGATCCGATTCCTTGATCTTTTGTAATTTCAGCTCGAATGCCTCCTCGCGGGCCAAGCGCTGGCGCTGTTCTATGAGGCCGGTGCGATAAATGCAGCCAAGTTTCCACTCGAAAGCATCATCTTCCAACTCAAACAGTAAAGCCTTGCTGCGCAACGATACTCTAGGAATCTTCTTGGGCTCTTCCGGTTCTCTGACTGATCCGAATTCAGACGAGTGGCCCTTGAAGCGTTCATGAAGCTGCTTGAGTGCCTTTGAGGTATTGATCACGTTGTCAAAAATGCGATGCATTACCATGTGGTGTGGTACACCCAAACGAATGAAATCAGCCCAGACATCGATGGACCTTTGCTCGACAAGATTGGTACCATGCTTGAGTTTCATTTTGCGCAAATCAAGGCGAACGTTGTTCATGCTTATTATTCTGGCCCACACACCTTTGAGCTTTGGCGCTTCTGCATGTAACCGAATGAGATGTGCTTTCACAAATGGAGAGGAGAGGCGATGCGAGCCAGCGGTCAGGCCGTAAATTTGAACCAACATTGGAGGATCGGCAGGCATGAAAGTCTTGAGCTGTATGACGGTTGCTCGGACATCAAATGTCATGAGCTCGCCCCTCGCGGACGGACGTGGCGATGGGGGGTAGGTGAATTCCTTCTGAACAGGGGACATGGGCGTTTCGGGCATATCCGGTGACTTTCGCATGAAGGCATCCTGGACCACAGACATCGCGACACCGAGACAATAATAGCGGTATAGGGAGTATTGTAGGTAGACGCCCTTGAACACAGAGTTGACGTTACTAATCGGACCAAGACGATCACTCATCGTGCTTAGGGCCACCTCGAATCTCGGTAGTGAGAAGAAGGGTTCGGCCTCCAAGTAGTCTTCGGATTCAATAACAAATCCCTCAAAGCCGCGGACGTGGAGGGCTAGTCGTCTGCCATCTGTGGCGCCCACTTGTTTCTGTCTCGGAGGCGACGTAGGCGGAAACCGGAAGGACGACTCATCTCCAATGTAAGAGTGACTTGGGGTCCGTCTTCTCGCGAAACTGACAGTCGTTGGTTCTGACTTCTGGGCTCTGTAGTCTGCGGTCCACGATTGTAGCTGGAATGAGACACCGCGTGAGACCTCAGAGACACTCGTGTCAACACCAGCAATTTCTAAGCTGAGGCCAGTGGCTTCAAATTGGCATCGAAGCAACCATGGCGGGATTCGCCTGAGAACACTAGGTTTCCGCTCTTCAAATGACATAGAGGCCTTCCTTCTATGCCGCGTTTGAGCCCGGAACTGCTCGAGCACCTGATGAATGCCACGGTTCACTTCATCGTTAACCATGTGTGCAGAACAGGTATTCAGGCTTCCAGATGCAATCACGCGTACTTCTGGCGAAGCACTAAGTAACACCTTGAATTCCAAGCTTTCAGTCGTCAAGAGATTATGTTTAACGCCGGACGGAGTTTGGTAGTACAGCTGATGCGATGCCACCCGGTAAATGGAAGAGAGCGAATAGTGAACCCCGCCTTCAGACGAATGTGAAGATTCAATGTCAAGAGATATAGAGGAAATAGAGGAAATTAGTAGATTATAATCGTCGTCAGGGGTGTCGGAAGGCTTGGAAATAGGGAGGACGAATCGAACCACAGGTTCGTGAACCGATACTTTGATACTGGCTTTGGGAAGAAGCCTAGAAATCAAACGATGGTTATCTCTCTTCTTTCCACGAGGAGACGCCTTCTTCGCCTGAGTCAACCCTAGGAGCCGAGAGACCTGCTTTGGCTCTAGATCGAGTGATGGGGACGTCACCACCAGATTAGCAAATAGTATGTTGGTATTGCGCTCCTCCGGGTTGTGGTCATCGAAGGAGCTGATCGTCTTTGAAGGGAGCGTGGTCTTGATTGTTGTGGTCGCCATTGGGATATATAGTATGTTCTCCGTCTCGCCTGAGCAATCGTCCAAGGTGACCGACAAAGAGATGGCCGCCAAGAGAGCTTGATGGGCGACATCATCGCGTTGGAAATACATGCGATGAGCAGGACTCTTCTGATCCATTCGGTGCAGATCGACGCCTAGCTCATGCGATACCACATTCAGATACACGGGATTGTGTTTTGACGAAGGCGGCTCAAAAGCTCGAGTTAACCTAAAGAAGCTCAGGGCCACCTGTATTCCTTGTATTCCGCGAAGGATTGACCCGGCAAACTCTTTGGAGTCGGCGACTGCTTGTACAATGGTGTCGTCTCGGCTTCCGGGCTGATCCAACTCCTCCACAAAGTCTGAGAAGGAAACCTCGTCATCAGTCTCAATATTGGTAGGCTCCACGGACGACTGGCGAGACTGTTTGACGCGCTGCATCAGAGTCATCACATCATCGTACGGGATATGCATGCGCCCAATCTTGAAAGCGATGGACGCATCTCTCAGGCCCTCGAGATCCTTGTGGAGAAGCCCATGTATATTGACCCGAACATTGTCCAGCACTTCGGTTGGCTCCGCTCCATCTATCCCGAGTAGCACGTTCTGCACATTCATCACCCACTCTGCCGGTCGATGTTCGTCAGGGCCCTGACTCTTGCGCCGAAAGAAGAGTTTCCCTCGATCCACCATCTTGCGCCTCGTGTCGACGCCCAAGGATAAAGATCCAACCTGGATCTGACCAGCTTCCACGAGATTGATGGTCGTATTGACGGCTACCACATCCACCAACTTCAACCAATGTATTTGTCGATGCAGCCGTTTCACTTGCTCCTTCATATGTGTCAGCTTCCGCCATGTCTTGCTCCGCTTGGGTATGGAAGAGCTGTCTTCCCGATTATCCGGCTCGGTTGACGACTCTTTCTCCAACGGGGGTTGCGAAACCGATGCATCGGGTTTTGTGGTGGACTTCTTTCCCTTTGCCAAAGCTGAAGGGTCCAGAGTCAATTTTAGTTCGGTCAGGCGAATGCTGAGCCATGTTGGTTGCGCAAACGAGGGCGGGTGTAGAGATAGGCCGAGGCCACGGAGTTCGATCTGGACGCCATCTCGGGGAACATAGGCAATGCGGCGGAGAGAAAAATATCCTATTCGTTGAATCGAGATTCCGGTCGCAATACGAACGATGGCGAAGATAAGGAAGGAGGAGAGGTAAAGGAGGAGGAAGCCCACGAGGACCGTGGTCGGACTAAAAAGCGTCATCGTAGCTCGCGGTCAGTAGGACCGATCCGTTGCACAAAATGGGCAACTGTCCAACAAGAGATCATGGAGAGTCGTTTCGGAGACCGCGGAGTGATTCTAGACGGAAGAGGTGAGTGAAAAATGATCAGAGGGAGCAATGGTATGCCTATGCAACCACACGAGCTCCCCCGAGTAGATCCAGCGCAACCCTCCTGAGGAGAGGGGATGGGGGGTTGTACTTCGGCGGATCCGGGAAAGAGAACAGGTCTCCGTTAAGGGAAGAGCTGCAGAGGGGCTGAAGAAGCGTTGTGATAGTAACGAAAGAGCCGTAAGTCAGTCATGCTTTTCTGTCCCTGATTTTTTCCCCCTGGATATTCGAGTATTGTCCTTTTCTTCTTCCTTCACCACCACCGTGAACCCAGTGCGTTATGATGAAAGGTAAGGACGATCGGGAGGGCGAGCCATAGATGCTAAACCACTGGAGCGGCAACCTGTCAGCGGCGGAAAGGTCGAACCCGTCACGGTCAAGACTGGAAGCGGAAAGCCGCCCACTTTTTTTTTTCAAGCTGGCAATGGACCAACGGGGGGTTATTCTCTGGCCGGACCGTCCGGCTGGCTCGGCATTGCTGCTTAGCAATTTACTGATCTGGCAAAAGATGTGGGTTTGCCCGCTGCAAAAAGTAAAAGCAAGCAAGCAATTCGACGCACCTTCCGAGCCTCAAAGGTCTGCTGCAGTCGATCGGGGAGCATTTTTTTTTCCTTTCCCCTGGCTCGATGGGGCCCTGCCTCACACAAAGCTTAGCAGCGTGGTCGTTCTAGGTTGGACTTTGGGTATCTACGAACACGGCAATTTGGCATTTTCCTCCTTGAAATTAAGCGCAACATTCTCCTCACCAAGTATCTATCGCTTGATGGGGGATTCCTCACGAAACCTTCCCAACAATATCCAGAATTCTTCTTGGCATGTGGAGCAGAAAGAAACAGTTGTTGATTGCGAATACTCCGTAGTGTTCCATGTAACTAGGGTCCGCTTCATGATCATACAGGGTCTTGTTTCAAATTAAAATACATGTGTCTGGAAACAATGTGAGAAATATGATACACGACAAAGGTAAACTCCTTCTGGAGGGCTCATGGAAGTGGCGGCACCGGCATCCGTAGCCAACCTAAAGATACGGCGGATCCGACCATCGTGTTGTGGTCGAAGTTCCAAAGTCGCAACGTTCAAAACTCTTTCCTATGCGAGCACAACATCCTTGCAAAGCTGGGTGCAAGTGCAACACAATACTGCCGGGAGTTCTATCTTGGAGGGCAAGTGAACGATCTACGTTCACCCGCGATCACTCAATTCTCTCCTTAACATAGATAGATCGGACATGTAAGATCGGCCCCCAACCATTCGAGCATGGCCGTACCTTTTCTCTTCTCGCACCCATAGCCAAGTTGCTAGTGGCCGTCTAGAAACCGACTACTTAGCTGCAGGATCCGAATTGCCCGATTCGAGTCCACTAGTCTTTAACTTTTCAAGCTCCCCGATCTTGTCGTCAATGAGTGCGATTTCAGCCTCGATACTCAACACTTTCTCGTTCAAAATACCCCTGTAATCGTCATCCGAGAGTGACTTGAGCGGGATCCATTTGGAGTCGGCCATCCGCTGCAGGAACGGCTTAGACGTCGTATTCGCGTTCTCCATTTGCCAGGTGTCGATCGCATTATAAGAGCTTTGCCCGACATAGCCTAGTAGCGAAAAAACAACTAGTCCAGGGACAAGTCGCCCGCCTAGCTCCGGCCATCAGTAAACCAACCACCACCACCTCTTTTTCTTTCAAACGGGGAAAAGAAGGATGCTGCCAAACTCACCCATTAGCCTCGTAACGGCCCCTCCGGCAACTCCTCCAGAGAGGGCGCTGACATAAGCCCGTTGCTTAGGGGTAGCCTTGTCTTCATAGTGAAGCTTCAGAATGTTGCTTCTCAACCCTGTAGCAGCAAGATTGATATCATTTCCAGATCTATAAGGGATAGACGAGGGGATAACTCACACCAAAAGGAGGCTCCACATGCAAACCAGTGGATTCCGCAAGAGATAGAATGAATGACCGGATGAGGGGACCGAATTACTCCTGATATTCCCCCATATACGAGGCCAGCAGATCCTGTTGAAGAAACTGAGTAAGTAGGGCTGCTGCAATGAGTCTCAGACATATGGTTCCTGAGTTGAGGCAATACAAGCCGGTCTACCAGTCACCGGAATGGGATTGGTAACTAACCACTCACGGCTCCCACGTTCAAAGAGGAGGTCAGTACATTGGGCTCCGGATATAACGCTTTGTTCTGTCCGCTCATCTTTGCGGTTACTGACACTGTAGTCTGCAACAGCAGGTCAGCGGCACATTATGGCTAACACTTTCAATCAGCATCTTCTGTTCATGCAAATCCATAAGCGTGCACGTGATTAGAGCAGGCTCGGGATGCTTATCTAATCCCTCTCCTTCCCGATGCCAAGCAGGAGCCTGATTTATACAATGGGTTGCTAGCTATCTATTGGATTTGGACAATATTAAGTATTAGGATTCTTCTAAGACTTATAATACCATGTCTGCACACGCCATTTTGAAAGCCCCATCAAACATTAGGACGAGTCTAAAATTTGTGAACCTGATCCTTCGAGAAACCCAATCGACTCAGGATCCCCTCAGGAGATCTTCTTGTTCCAGCCAGGGAATCTTCCATCGCCGGAGGACCGCAAATGAATACCTTTGTATCCTGTGTCGAACCCTTAAAAACGCTCTTTAGAAGTTCTTCGTCAATGTATCCTGTTCTATAAGGAGATTTCTCCTTTTGTGGACGGCTGACAGTGTAAATGTAGTTAAAGCGGTCAGGAAACTCTGTGGCATAGCGATCAAGTTCCTCCTTCAACAGTAGATCTTCCTCGGAGTTGACGCCAAATACAAGAGTCAGCTTCGTTCTATCATGAGGATTCTTCAGGATGCCTTTTATAAGTTGATAAATTGGCGTAATTCCAGCCCCGCCAGCCAAGAGATAGGCGTGGGAGAACTCATTCGGCTTCCACTGATATCCTTTCAATGAAGTCGCAAACCTAAGTGAGTCTCCTGGTTTCAAGGAGTGCAAGTAACCGCTGGCCTTCCCGTCTGGGTATTTCTTGACCATAAGTTCAATATGGCCTGGTTCGTCTGTAGGTTCGATCGATACTTAGCAATCATAATCTGGAACAGGGGCATCCTCGACCACAAACATATCTCCATCCCTCTGCTAGATGGGCCATGTCTATGTGACCAGGGTATGTCATATCAGACATGGAATGAGCTCACCTAAGTCACTTATAGGTGTATATGGTCGAATCGTGGGAAGCCAGCTCCCTTCAGGATGTGTGATTGCTAGTAGTGCGGCTGTTAGATGTTAGCAGCGTAGCTTGAGGTATAGACCGTCCTTCAAGGGGCAAGTGTTACAAGTCAATGTCAGGCCGCTGCGGGCGGATTCGTCAGGGTATTCGAAGACCAGTCGCTTCGTGTTGTGATTAACGGTTCTGATGCTCTGCAAGCGCAAAGTGGTGAGTCCTAGCCCAGAGAAGACCGTCTTTGGCTCATTCGATTCCGCAAATGCCGTTGAATACAGCTTCGTGTAATACATGCCCAGGCCTGCAAAGCCAGCCACTCCAGCAACCTTGATCGCCCTGGGAATTGTGCGCTGGAGAGTATTCATCTTGTGATCAAATCACAACCTCTTTATCAGGATCAATATGAAAAGAACAAAAACGAACAAGAAACACTCTTAAAGTACATTGGGGCTTCACGACCTAAATAGGCCGAGAAATCAGTAGTGTGCTCCATCTTGCATTAAGGCGAAAAAATAAGACTGTGGAACCAGGGATAAAGCAGTTCCGTAGAGGCACACGTTACAGTTGGACGTGGCCTGTCAATATTATCGGCTTCGGATTCTGGAGACCCGATGGGATGTATGCCAGAGAGGAGGAAAAGCAATGATATACAGAGTGCAGTCCCAAAGGCCGAGCAACATCATATTCCAAAACCCGACAAAATCCGAGACTGGATGATGTCAACGACGGTGGTGTGTTTGTGTGCCTGGCGGCAGCGGGTCGGTGCCTTGATCTTCCCGCCATCGAAGCGGGTCCACCGAGTAAAGGGAATCAACAAATGTGACCACTCTTTATTACCCTGCGGTCTACACTCGTTCGATTTGATTGAAACTGTTTAATATGGTTGCGGACATTCTTGATCCTACAAGAAACTAACTTGTTTTCAAGACTACCTGAAGTGGATCGCAATATTCAACAGACTATGATGACCCCTGATGTTCACGATTGGATCTATGGTCCTATATATCATACGATCACTGTCTCGTCATACTAGTTTAACAGCAGTACCCTAGTGCCCTTCACTTTTTCTGAACTGATAAGGCACGAGATCTACTTCTGCCATGTATGCATAGACTGACAGGGTATTTGGCGGCCCGCAGATCTTGACTCCCCGCTGCGGGACGCATGGGGAGTGGAGTGCGGGTCGCTCAGGTTGTGCAAGTAGTTGGCGTGTTGACCCTTTCAAGAGTGTAAAGAGGCCCTTGCAGACCACTGAAGAATAGCGGGGGCTGTGCGTTGACATTTGAATTACAACGGAATGAATAATTGGCTGGTTGGGCTACGCAGGCTCCGTGAGGCTTCATGGATGAAGCACTATGGGAAGTCTCTTAAGCATAGCCACGGGATAGTGCTCCCACTTTGGATAGTTCTGAGATCGTATGTACTGCTCAGCAGTGTAATTTGCATATTCTCTTGGACGCTTGTCTACTTTTAAAACCTACATTAGCGTCCACGCTACGCGTCCATGCGTAGCGTGAAGATGCCAAAGACGCGCATCAACCGGGCTGATGAAGAGCAAGATATGCCCTTACCCCAAGAATGCGTAAGAATTATTGCCAAGCTGCTCCTCTATCATGTTTCACTAGAATACTGCAGACGTTGGTCCCTCGCTGTATACTAGGTGCTTAAATTCCAACCATGTGACCAAAATGCCCAAATCCATTATATAGCCGATGCCGACATCATCGTATAGAACTGCCACGGCCGACGAAATTTCAAGGGTTGGATGAACGAAAGGCCCCTTCGAGTGGAAGTTGACCTTGAGGTGTGTCCAACAAGCGTAGGAGACCACTAAAGAAACTATCTCTGAATGAATCGAAAATACCGTTCATGTTAAAGCCGGCAGCGGATGTCAGGAGCTGGTTGCCATTGCTCGTAAGATTCAGTTCGGCGATAAATTTGCAGTAATTTTCAGAATCGACAATCACCAAAATGCCTAGGGCATCGGAATAATAAAAATCGTAGAACGTTGGGAAATAACTTTTGTATTGTCCTTCAGACTGATTATTTTGTCTTTCGATTTCCTAGTCGCCAACTTGACGTGGGAATGTAGTCTGAAGTAGCGTGGGGGTCATGGGCTTCGGAGGTGAATGGTATCTAGCTCCATTAGTAGCAATGCCTTTTGCTGGAAGGTTGTGAGTCTGGATGAGGAACTGCGAAATAATCATTCACAAGTAAAGAAAAAAGAAATGTGTCATGAATAAAGTGCATGTTGAAGTTAGTGAAGAGTTTAGCAAACTGGAAAAACAGGACGAGAGAGAAGGGAGCGATTCTGCAGGCCATTGCCTGCGTGTCGGTTAAGTGTTCGTTCCCAAAATGGAGCCAACCGCGCAGACAATGAAGAAAAGAATGCCTGGCCCAATCCGGAATGGGGCCTATTCAAGCGGAGAGTCGATGAACATTGTTACTATTCACCACCATAACAATGGGAGTAACAGGGGACTAGACAGAGAGACAAGTTCGACAGTCCACCACAGTCACTATACCTATTATCTCATCGAATCCGACCGAAAAAAGACACCGGGTGGAGAGGAGAAGAGGGGCGGAAGGACAGAAGACACACTTTCTCCGCAAAAAGGCGAGGGAAAAAAGGTGGAAAAAAGCCCTCGGGTTGGGTCGAGGCGGCCGACCCAAAGCCGCACCAACACTTTTTGAGGCTGACTTTTCTAGCGTCATCACTAAAATTTATCCTCACGGATTAACTTACTTTCCCCCTCTGTCCTTCACTGCGGAGCTCTCCTGCATTCCCCCCATCACTCAACGCCCCTTTGGACGTCCACTATCACTATCGTGATTTCTTCCCCGTCGGAAGCCCCCCCTAAAAATCCTTTAAGAGAACCTTTATTCTGAGACGCGCACAGGAATCCCCTTGGCGCGTTTCCCACTTCTTGAACAACCGCAATCATGGGTGCGTTTAACCCCTCCTCGTCCGGCGCACTGTCCCAATTTACGCCAATTTCGCATCCTCTGACTTATCCTGGATACTAATGGCTTTTTTCTACGTACAGCGCCCTCTAAGCAGAAAGCCCAGAAGATGTCTCTGGGCAACTTCTTGGCCGATGAGAGTGAGTCCCTGTGCACCCACATCGTCGCGGGGATGAACGGTGGCTAATAGGAACAGACTTCGGCTCTTGGGCTGATGAGATGGAGGACATGCCTTTGCCTGGTAAGTGACTGATTCCTTGCCTTCGGTCTATTGCTGTCTGCTAATATTGATGCCTCTCTAGCCGGTACGTTGCACATGATGCTTCTTCCTTCGACCCGAACGATGCTAAACATATATCAGCTCCCGCCCCGTCCAGCTTCGGCCGCTCTGCTGCGCCTTCTTCTGGTTTCGGAAGCAGCTTTGGTGGTGGTACGATAATCTTCCCTGTGTTATTGCTGCAATTTTGCTTCGATATATGTGTTTGATACTGATGCGAATATAAGAGCGTGAGCGTGGTGGCTACGCCGTGAGAGAGCCCCTTCCTCTTCCCACCCAGCCCCCCTACACTGCCCATGTTGGAAACCTGTCCTTTGATGCGACTGCCGCCGATATCTCCGACCTCTTTGCCGACTGTGGTGTCACCAACGTCCGTATCGTGGAGGACAAGTTGACCAAGGCCCCCAAGGGCTTCGGATATGTCGAATTTGAGACTGTTGATGGTCTGAAGAAGGCTCTTGATCTTTCCGGTGCTACCCTCCAGGGACGTGCCATCCGCACCAGCATTGCCGAACCTCGTAGGTGTCCTTGCTCCGGTATGATGATCTGCGCCAGCTGACGGTACCTATAGCCAAGGAACGTGATGTCAAGGAGTTTGACTGGACCCGCAGAGGTCCTCTGCCCGATATTCCCCAGCGCCGTGTGCCCGATCGTTCCTCTTTCGGACGCAACCTCGACAACGTGTCTGATGCCGGCAGCGAACGGGGTAGTGGCCGCCGCAACTTTGAGAGTGATGGAAAGTTCCGTGATTTCAGCAACTGGGAACGCAAGGGCCCTCTCTCTCCCCCGCCTGCACCTGTCCGGGAAGGTGGCCGTTCCCGCAACGACGAAGGACCTGGTTTCAGAAGAAGCTCCCCCGCATGGGGTGAGGGACGCTCCCAGGATGGCTCCCGCCCCCCGAGACGCGAATTCCAAGAACGCACCCCCACCGCGGCTGAACTCGATAACGCATGGAGATCCAAGATGCGCCCCGATCAGCCCCCCAAGGAGGCCAGCAACCCTCCCTCTCCTGCTGCCGCTCCTGCCGCCCCCGCTACTCGTCCTCGCTTGAACCTCCAAAAACGGACTGTGACTGAGGCCGTCTCCAGCCCCTCCGCCAACACCGAGTCCAAGGCTAGCCCATTCGGTGGTGCCCGGCCGATTGACACCGCCGCTCGTGAGAAGGAGGTTGAGGAACGTCGCCAGATTGCCATCCGCCAAAAGAAGGAAGCGGATGAGAAGGCCAAGGCCGAGAAGCCCGAGAGGACTGAGAAGACCGAAAAGCAGCGTCCTGCCAAGGAGCAGCCCAAGGCTGAGAAGTCTGGTACACCGGCTGATCCCAACGGCCGCGATGTCGCCGAGCACGCCCAGGGCGGCACGAACTTCGAGATCCTCCGGCGGGCCGGTGAGGACGAGAGCGGTATGACTGCCGATCAGGACCAGACGGAGGAGGCCGCTGCTGCTGCCAAGAATGCCGAAGCCTCGACCAACGCTGCCCCCAGCAAGGCGAATGGTAACTGGAGGGCCGGGCCTGCCGAGGCTGGAGCCGACGACGAGGGCTGGAGCACCGTGAGCTCGAAGCAGCGCAACAACCGCCGTGGCGGCCGCACGTTTGCATAGATCAATGGATACCCCCCCAAGCTCGTCATCGCTTGACCGAAAACCTGGCGCCATGATCCCCGACGTGCGTATTATGAAGCGACCAAACTCTTTTGCTTCTGGCTCTAGTTGGGTCACCGAATGCGCAACACTCGTGGAGATGGCCAGGTGAATTTTGGTTAACGCCGATGTCCGTTTGTTTTGATGTTGTTCAGAGTCGTCCTCAACTTCTTTCGCTTTCTCCTTTCTCTTCCTACGGGTTGCCGCCTCCGTCTAGATCTAGGATTCAGGTCTAGTCCTTGTTTCTTCCGTCAAGCATGTCGAAAAGTTTGTTCTTTTCCCCAAATTTCCTAGTGTGTGTTCTTCACGTTTCTCTGAGCTAGTTATTCCCATATACGTGGATGAAGTGTTATACAGCAATGACCCTTATGGCTGATGCGAAGGAAGAAGAGTATACGTTTCTTTTCACTTTATCTTATGCTTTTGAACTTGCTGATCACCCACACCCTCCGTTCGACTCCGAATTTAATTTGCTCCAAACCCCCCCCCCCCCCCCCCCCCCCCCCCCCTCTGTTGCTTTTTTCCTCCCCCCCCCCCCCCTTTCTCTTTTTTTTTTTTTTTTTTTTTTTTATTTCCTCCCCCCCCCCCCCCCCCCCCCCCCCCCAATTTTTTTTTCCCCCCCCCCCCCCCCCCCCCCCCCCTTTGCTGCCAGACAGTTGCTTTCTACTCCACTCTCCAAACTCTCTTTCCTTTTTAACTCTGTCTTGCTTCTGGATCCGGGGATGGCGTGTGGAGTCTTGTTCCTTCTTGTTCAACCTAACCGGAGCCCATGCATGTCCCTACTACTAGTTGACACGAGGCAGTTCCCCCTACGAATAAGAAAACGATTAGCAGTTTAAAGCTACTAGTTGTAGATGAGATTCGTAAGCAAGTGCAAAATGCTTCATACTATAGCTCGTAATTACCATCATCAGTACTTAGCTAAATTAGTAAATACTATCAATCATTGGGGGTTCAGTTCTCCCCTACCAGGAACAATGCTAGTATGCGGCTAGTATATATAAACCAACTACCCCACCTGAATAGACAAGATAAGCAAATACAAACACAGCAACACCTATCAGGAAAACCCCATCATCACATTCTAAAAGAAAAGAAACGAATAAAGGCAGAGGAATGAACCAATCCTAACAACCAATTGCTTTCTTTCCCCCCTAGTTCTCCCCCTCCATCCATGGGAGCAGTACGCGCGAAGACGCTGACGGAAGAGGGAAAACCAAACCTAATTCGATCGAAGGGATCGACGGGATGCATGGCGACCCGACTAATTAGCAGTACCTAGTAGTAGCAGCTGAAGGAAATGAAAGTAGCAAGGGAACTTACTAGTTCAGTCAGACCATCATCTGATTTATTGGCGAGTTAGATAGTCTCTTTTCTCCCAGCCCGCATCCCGAATAGGAAGTCGGGTCCCCGCGGATACGATCTGCCGTTGGTGTGTCTAGCTGTCTGTCTGTCTGTCACAAGAGATATAATCTCGGGGTGAGGGGAGGGAAGAGAAATAAAGGCAAGTATTCCCGTAGTTTTGATTTAGAGCTAGACTACTACGTAAGTTGGTCTTTATCTATCTGCTAATCTGTCTATCTATCTAACTTATTTTTATCTATCGCATGGTGGACGCGACGAGACTGTGACTAGCTACGATTGCTACCATCTGATTACTATTCCGCTACGCTACCCCACATATCATACTACTGTCTGTATCTAAACTAGAGCTCTTGACCGACCGACTGGCTGTTTTTTTCTTTTTTCTTTCGCACATATCCCTCTCCTCCCCGCACAGCTCTCTTCTCATCCTCAAATTCCAACAAGTCTTCATCGTTGTCGATGTCAAGATGCATCGAGATGAACCTCTTCCCGATCCGCCTTCCACTAGTTCTCCGCCATGGAAGCTCGCTTTTCGCTCCTCCAGGGCGTTTGTGATCTCAGTGGTGGCTATTGCGGTCTTCACGGTATTTGACCTTCACAATGATGAATGAAGCTTTGTGCTGATATTGTGGCAACAGGATGTGTTCATTTATGGCATGGTAACTGCGCCAACTTTGGATCGGCTCGGAGCTTCATCTGACCAATGTAGATCGTCCCTATCTTGCCTATTGTGCTCAAAACACGCGTGATTGTAGCGGAAGATGAATGTAGGATGTCTCTGTATGACATTCGACAAGACAACAGGCTAATCGCCACAGTGCAAAAATGGATGTCAATCATGCTGGCCGCGTTCGGCGGTGGTATATTCTTCGGATCCCGTAGGTGCCGTTTCCTTACTTCGTGGCATGATTGCGAATAACACCAAATTGCTAGCAATATTCGGTTATTTCGCGGACAGAAGCTCATCACGCCAGCTTCCGTTTCTTATTGGACTGCTCGCGCTCGCCGGGACGACTATCGTGTTCTGGTTCGCAGAAACAGTATCGTCCTTGGTCATTGCACGCAGTCTCCAAGGATTGTCAGCTGCTGTGGTCTGGACTGTTGGTTTGGCTCTTGTTGTCGACACGGTGGGCAAGGATCAGGTGGGAGCTGCAATGGGATATGTCTCGATGGCACTGACTGTGGGGACGGTGTTTGGTCCATTCATTGGAGGGATCATGTGAGTTCAGTATATTGTCGCATTGGAAGCTTGATCGGCGATTTACTGATTATCTAGGCTGTCGCGAGTGGGCTATCATGCGGTATTTGTATTGGCAATTGGGTTGATAGTGCTAGATATCTGTCTTCGGCTCGTGATGGTCGAACCCAAGAATGCTGCGCAATGGATCCAGTCGGGCAGTGGCGGAGAGACACAAGCTCTGCTAAATGAAGCCGAAACACATGGCGCTGGGTACGATGCGATTACCGCCAATGCTAGAGCAGGACAGACATCTGGCCTCGATGACGAATATCTAACCGAGGGCAGCGGCGAGCCGCTGACCAGCGGGAGGTCGACCTCCGTACCTGGGATTGTCCGCTTGATATTCTCAGGCAAGTTACTGGTCGTTCTTCTGGCGACGGTAGTGGATGCCATCATCTGGTCCGCATTTGATACGGTATGTGCCTCGGTGGAAGAGCGCTTAGTCCTTTGTGGTCGAATGTCAATTTAACGAGGCCAGGTGCTCCCGCTGTATGTCATGAAAACGTTCGGCTGGGGATCATTCGAAATCGGGCTATGTTTCCTACCTCTCTTTGCACCGTCTTTCCTCTCTCCATGGATTGGTATGCATCAGGCAGTTCCTATGCCTTCTAACTCTGCTGATCAATGATTGTAGGTGACGCAGTAGACCGTTGGGGAGCACTTCGGGTAGCCTTTGTTGGCTTCCTGCTCGATTTCCCAACATTACTGCTTTTTCAGCTTGTCGCACGCAACACGACCCAGGACCAAGTTCTTCTCTATGTATTCCTCTTCGTCGCGGGTGTCGCTTCGACCCTGCAGATGGTCTCGTTGATGACGGAGGTCAACAACGTCACGGAGCGGTACGAGCGGGAATTCCCCGGTATCTTCGGACATCAAGGAGGAACTGCGCAAGCGTACGGGCTTTTCAATGTCGCCTGGTCGGGCGGGCAGGTACTGGGACCCTTGGTCGCGGGTCTGCTAGTCGAGCGAGCCGGCTGGACGACAATGGTGACGGTGTTGGGGGCAGTTAGCGGAGGCATTTCCGTGGTTATCGCGCTCTCGGATCGAAGGGTTCTGCCAGTGAGGGAAAAGAAGTGACATTCGACGTAGATTGATGGAATGAGTTACGATGCTAAGGCTGTGATGATGATGAGTATAAACGATAAGTAACGATTGATGGATCACAAGGGATGGAGATGAGATGTTGATACGAAATCAAAATGTTGATGTATGATCATTCGGTCGGGAGGGCATAGTGAAGCCGGGAGGTCTGCAAGGGAGACAATATCGGTAATTCCTCAGCGCACATCTCCTTTCTAGATAGATAGGTTAAGGTTGAAGATCTCCCGAGCCAGCAAGGGAGCCCGATCTTCTATCAAGGCTGCAGGGTCCATCAATTATCTCATGGCTGGTGTTACCCTGGCGATTGAAGGAACGCGATGGCATCCAGGGCGGTTGACCGGGAGGCTGGAATGGGGTCGACGCCTTTCACAGCACGCCTCCCCGTCGGTGTATTGAGCGCCCATCTGTAGGACCTTGGTACGAGACCAAACAAGTCAGCTTTTGGGAACTGTCACGACATGAGGTGCAACTGGCAGATCAACCAGGCAGGCAAATGACGAGTCACCAACAGCAACTCACTAGCCAGCGGGTCTCAACGGCGCGGTCCACACGTGTTGCCTCGCCGCGGATCCAACAAGATTCCACGACGTCGTCCAGGGTTCGCAGAAGGCGCAACATTGTTCGTGATGGATGCCAGAGATCTGATCGCATCCATTGGCAGTTACACCGTCTCCCCAACGATAGTATCTGGGTAACTGCCAGCGCAGCAGAGGAACGGAGATGATGCATTCCTTTGGTGCTTCTGGAGGGAAGGCCGGCGGCTCCCCACCGCTTCCCGCCGCAGGGACAATTAATGCAATCAATCCCAGTTTAATCAATTAATCTTCCCCGTCTTACTGCCTGTGCTGACTTCGTTCCTCTCACCGGCTTCATCCCCATCTTCCTCTGCACGGTTTCTCTCACTTGTTTGGGCAAGGCTGGCTACCGACATCCTCTCCTCCAACCACCTTCCCTTGCCTCACTGCACCACTGCATGACCGGTCTTTTAAGCAGTTCGGCCTCCTATTTATTGTCTCTCTGCCGCTTTCTGCGACACTGGTCCGGCATCCTTTCATTTCCAACCTCCCGCCGCTCAGTTTCACCTCCGGTCCGCTGACGTTGCCTTCTTACAATTGATTGTGCTTTGTACACGATCAAACTTCATCCTCAATTTCACCTCATGTGGCACAAACCATGTCGACCACCACGACTACCACCGCTCTAACATCCACCACTCTCATCGGCACGCTGCCCTCTATGGCGGGCGCTGCCGCTCTCGTCTCGGGAAAGGCCTGTCCAACTTGCGGCCAGGACGGATTCCTCGCTGCTGGACAGTCCACAACCGATGCCCGACGTCGAGCGAAGGACCTGGAAGGCCAGGTCAATGCTCTGAATCTACAGGCCATGCAAATGGGTGAGGATAGCTGAACCCCAACATATATGTTGATAGTGAACTAATCGAAGCCATCACCTACAGCCGAGAAATTGGCCGCATACGAAGAAGAGATCCGACGACTGCGTGCGCAATCGTCCTCCCGAAACAACACATCCGTGTCATCCACCGCATCGACGCAAATCGACCGGTCCCAATCGCCCACTCACCTACAAACGTCCCCCAAATCGCAACCGGGTCGACTTTCTACTCTTGCCTCTTTCCTCCCTTCCCGTCGACCGAGCGCTACCAGTACCACACAGGCTCAGACGGTCGCTTCGCCCCCACCACCGGAACCCGTGCAGCCGGCCACCAGTCAGGAGGAGACAGTGGAGTTACAGAATGCGTTGAATCGGGAGCAGAGTCTACGTAAAGCCGCAGAGAGCCAGCTGTCTCAGGCGAGCACGGAACTGGAGGAGTTGACAGCGCAGCTATTCAGCCAGGCGAACGAGATGGTCGCGCAGGAACGCAAGGCACGAGCTCGTCTCGAAGAGCGGGTCGCGGTACTGGAACGTCGAGATGTCGAGAAGCGAGCTCGACTCGAGCGCTTAGAGAAAGCGATGGCACGCGTGGAGCGGATCCGAGCGATGGTCGGGTAGGGGGGTATATCAGATTTCGGTTGCTTTTGCTCGCTCTTCATTATCGCTTGCTTTTTATCATATACCCCGGTGTTTTGTTTTGGCGAAAGCCATGTTATGGTTGGCATGAGATGCATGACCTGACGGGATGAGGCGTACTTATGAGAGTGACGATAGCATTTACGGCGCAGCGTTTGGAATTATTGCATTGATGGAGGATATTAATATAGCATAGTATACCTTATTTTTTATTCCTCCCCTTTAATCTCTCCTTGAAATCTGTCTATCTACACAAGAATCATGGTAGGAAACTGAAATGAATATCCACCGAACCCCGCCATCCACACTCCGGGACTAAACGCCATTAGTCTGATTACCTCGCACGTCCCCACATTTATTTCCTATAGCAAATTATATTAATAGCATCGATAGACCCTTTCACCTCTCCAGCTTCCCTGCAATTATTCCTATAGATCCTTATTCTTCGTCCTTGTCGTTAATACTACTTTTATAAACTCTTGTTAAACATCAAAATGTCCACCCCCATCGGCGTAGCCATTATCGGCAGCGGTACCCTCCCCCTCTCTTATCCTATCCCTAGTATTAATCTTAACGTCGCATGAACTTGTTCAATTTATTAATGAACTGATAATAGGCATCTTCGCAAAGGAAGAGCATTTGGTAATACCTCACTATATCCCCATACAACAAGTACCAATTCACACACTAACAAAACGAACAGCCCATTCTATCCGCCTCCCCCCTCTTCACCCTCAAGGCCATCTACTCCCGGTCTCTCAAATCCGCAGAGACCCTCATCTCAGGGAGCAAAGAAGATGTCGTGAAGAACGTGGAATTATATTCCGAAGACTCCGAGTCCGGTAGACAGTTCCAGGATCTCCTCGCTAGGGAAGATGTGCAGGCTGTTATTATTGCGTGAGTTGCTCTATACCATGGAGATAGGTAGTATCACCATGACAAACTCATACTGAATTGAAACGAATAAGTCTCCCCATCCCCGCCCAACCAGGATACATTCGCGCGTCCCTACGTGCCGGTAAGCACGTCCTAAGTGAGAAGCCCATCGCCGGTGATCTCAGCACCGCCCGTGCTCTGCTCTCAGAGTACCAGTCTCTCGCGACGAAGCCGCTCTGGGGTGTAGCAGAGAACTGGCGCTTTCTGGCGAAGTTCTCTCGGGTAGCTGAAGAAGTCCGGAAGTTGGGGGCTGTGAAGGCTTTCAGAGTTAGTGTGAGGACGTTGATTGGGGAGGGGTCGAAGTATCATCGTATGTATTTCCGCTTTCCTCTTTCATATTTGGCTTGATCTGTGGGAATATGGTAAGCTGATAGTTGACCAGAAACCGAATGGCGTCGCAAACCCACATATAAGGGTGGTTTTGTCCTCGATGGAGGGATCCACGCCATTGCTGGATTGAGGCTCATTCTTGGTAAGAAGGACGCTATGGCGGCTGTGTCGGCCATGATGGGACTGCAGCGGGAGCATTTGGCTCCTGTGGACACTGTCGATGCGGTGGTCAAGACTAAGACTGGGGCGAATGGGGTGGTGTCATTGTCGTACGGGGCTGCTGTGAATGAGACGGTCTTTGAGTTTAGTTGTGAGCGAGGTGTGGTCAAGTTGGATCGGGATACGGTGACGGTTAGTGGTGGGGAGTCGTTTGAGGTTCCGTATGAGGGACGTGGAGTGAATTATGAAGTGGCTGCGTTTGGGGAGTCGATATTGAAGGGACAATTGGAGGAGAGGCTGCGGCCAGAGGAGGCTATGGCTGATTTGGAGGTGATGGAGGGGATGTTTGTAAGTGAGGGTGGGAAAGTGCTGTTGGATTTGCAGTGATGGACTGGCCTAGGAGGGTAGTAAATTCTTCAGATATACTCAAAACATCAATTTGTTTGTCCAATAAACCTAGACTCATTCAATTTAAAATATGGTATCCTGACCGATTGGCCTATCCAAGTAACTGCCCCAGTATATATGAAATCCTCACAGTTTTGTGAGGTAATTGCTACAAACTGACAGGTGACTTCCCCGATTCTCGTGTTCCTGTTGCACGACAAGCAATAAGAGGAGCGTTTTCCGGCTGGCCTGCGGTGCAGACAGCTTCATTGATGGTCATGTTGGTCTCATCCATTTGACGCGAGAGAAGTAGCGCGATTTGGTCGTGCCCATGTCTTCGCGCGTGGAGGGCAGCATCGCGGCCGTACTTATCCCGGCGCTTGGGGTTTACCCTTCCCGTATCGAGCAGTAATCGAACTGTACTTCCGCGTCCTGCTGCTGCTGCGGCCATCAACGGCGTCCATCCTTGCCTGTTTGCCGCGTCCGGGTTCGCCTTGTACTGCAAAAGTAATCTCACAATGCCCTCGTAACCACGGCGTGTGGGCCGCGTCACAGGGCTCATGACGTGGAAACTGTGAGCTTCTGGGTAGCCCCCAGACTCAAGGATTTGCTTAACTAGGGCTTCGTCTCCAGTCTCTTTGCGATCCAACGCTATAGCAACCAACAGAGCCGTCCAACCGTTGCGGTCCTGGCTGTCTGCGTCAACCCCTCTGCTCAACAATGCTTCCACCATCGAATAATTACCTCTCCTCGCTGCCCATACTAATGGAGGTCGACCGAGTTTCTTATCAGTGAGGTTAGGGTCAGCACCGCAGTCTAATAGGCTCCTGGCTATCCTGTGATGGTCTTCCTGGATCGCGCAAATCAATGGTGTTATGCCCCGACGTCTACTTCTCACGTCCGCACAAATTCCAATGTTTATTAATTCCATAGCAGCTCTATAGCATTTGTGCTCCAAAGCGAGCAACAACGGAGTCATGCCGGAACCATCCATGTGGTTTGGATCGAACCCTTGTTTGAGCAATAGGTCGACAACAAACCCATTCTCGTATCTAGCTGCGTTGAAAAGTGCTGTCCGACCTGCATTATCTGTACTAAGACGATCAGCCCCCTTGGCCAGTAATAGCTTAATAACTTCGCAGTGGTTGTTACGAGCGGCGTAGTGGAGCGCGGTCCAGCCACGTTCATCTTTTAAATTAGGGTCACAATTTGCCTCGAGCAAAAGTTCGACTACCTTCTTTTGAGAATCAAATGCGGCCCGTAGCATCGTATCGCCATCCATGACATAGTCATGGCCTTTTTGACAACCTAGCATCAAAGGGGTTCGGCCAGCGTTTCCCCTCAAGTCTGGACTGGCTCCATTGCTCAAGAGTAAGCTCATAACCCCAGAATTGCCCTTGTTTGCTGCTAGCGCGAGTGGAGTAAGCCCCCACCGGTCTTTGTGATCTATAACGAGTCCTTGTTTGATCAAAAACCTGGTTGCTTCCTCATGGCCATTCTCTGCCGCCCATGATAATGGAGATCTGTTTGTAGCATCAAGGGAATTCAAGGCATACCCGGCTTCTAGCAACTCCCTCAGCGCATTTTCCGACCCAAAGAATGCCGCCAGATGGGCTTCTGTCACCAATTCTGGCACTTGCACAGTCAGTTGAAATGCTTTCCTAATTCCCAAGTGAGTAACGAAATCTTGTGCGCAAAGCACGACCTTCTTCTTGTCCAGCAGGAGGCCGCGTGCCAGTCCTGGTTTTGCAAGGGCGCGCGCAAAATGATGTGCCCAATAGTGACGAGAGTAGCGGGCAAAGGGATAACCGGCTGTGCGTAAGCCTGCTCCTGACTGAAGGCAATACGATAAGTATGCCATGCAGACTTTTGCCATGTCATAGTGCGCTCGGGGAAACCACTGGGTCTGGGTTCTCTCGAAATACTCCTGTGCGGTATGGTGGACCAAGCGGATGATATGACTCTTTTCGTCCACAGTCACCAAGCCAGCACAGGCAGCTTCCATGTCTTGCACATCGGGAAGGTTTTCTGTATCGAATTCGGTCTCTTCGATCTCAACAGCAAGGCCATGTTAAAGCTCTGTGATTTTCAGGGGTTTTCGAGCGCAGGTAATCCATGCAATAATTTGAAATGCCAACTCCTTCTCTCCAGCCGTCTTCCCATTTATCCGTTCCATGGTTTCCTCATATGCAATATTGTAGGCGTCAGTTCCGGATGGCAATTGCTTGAGTGCTCTCTGAATCGCCGTTACCGAGAGCTTTCCTTCCAATGAGTCGAGGTGGAGTTGAGCAAGAAGAAACCTATGAATGTCAGTGCGAGAGCTAATTTTTGAGGAGACATGAAGGAACATACATTCCATTCACCGTTTTCGTAATTGCGTTGACTATTTCCTTCTGTAGCTCATCGTTGCGTAGCACGACTCTTGACAGCTGAGATATGTGACCTTCCAGATATGCCCTTACATCTTCAGCAGCAGCAGAGATTTCTTGCTGTAAACAACCTTCGAATGCCGATTGGATGGCCGGGCTGTGTCGTGACGTAGCAAATATGCTAACTGTGCTGTTGCTCTGCAGACGAAACAATTCCAATAACAACCTGCGTAGCGCTTCATCCCTAGATGAATATTCATCAAGGGCGTCTACCACTATGAAGATCCTCGAGAAGTGACCAAGCAGAACGGATAGGCTCTCGAAAAGTTCGTCGAGTTTCGGCCGAGTTTGTCGTTTCTTGTGTTGTGCATATAGAGACTTTATATCCTCAGGAAGAGACAACATTCTTTGACACAATTGCTTTATCAGACTCGCAAGTACATCGTCCACACTCTGCTCATTATGGCGCCGAAAGTTGCAGTATATGTAGGCGAGACCAACACTTCGATCGTATTTACACTTCTCTTCAAGATTTTCAATGACAATAGCAGTAAGTATTGTTTTTCCAGCTCCAGGTATGCCCGTGCACAGGATATTTTTGTTTTCGTTGTTGATCCACTGCTGAAACTTGTCTGTGCCTAGTAACCACTTACCGGTACCGTCCTGGCGACGTTTGAGAAAGTCTTCTTGCTGAGTTGCGTAATTTACTGTTGTAAGCCATTCAAGGATCTCATGACAGGCTTTATCTTCCATGGTGTTGTTGATTTGGTCAACGAGCTCTTTCGTTGCAAAGGCTACCTGACTATTCCGGGAAACATGAGCATTCGCCTTCCTGGGGTGTTCCCGAGCATACCTGGTCAGACTAGTACTCAAGAGACTGAAGACATGAATATCCGAGTGTATTCTCTGATGCATTTCAGCCATTCTAGCTTGGTCCCATTTGAGTCTCTTCCAAAAACGGCGATAGGCACCACCTAAGCTGTTAGTACCAATGTTTAACTCCTGGTATTTGTCTAATCTGCGGAGCAGTTCATTCAAGTCATTATAGCAAGATCTATAAACATCGTCTAAATGCCTTTTCTGCATGGTATTAAGCCCCGCTTGTTGGTAGGTATTTTCGATATCACGGAGGACATTGCACAAGGTTTTTGAGCTGGTGAAATGTGAGTACCGGAATAGACGTGCATAACATTGGCACCTACGTTTCTGAAATTTTTTTGAATTGTTCAGGTGCATTGACAAAGCGTTCCTTGATGGTCTTAGCGAGATTCACTACAGCGAGGAAGTCCCCGACACCATATCCGAAGCTCATGGTGCAGATTGGAGGGGGCAACCGTTGGTTTGACAGAAGGGAGTAACAATATCTCATTGAAGCTGTTTATTTGTTCAGCATCTTGCGTTGCTCATCAATATTATGGAAGAGAAGTCAGCCCTTATATGGACAACGCCTGATGGCAAGCGCCGGCATCGTGTACTACACATTGCAGCCTCGCGGAAAGAGGGGCTCGGTTCCCTGAAGGCCATCAGGGTGGAGCGAAAAGGATTCATTGGCATCAGCCACCTGTACTACGAAACGCTTTAGGCATTGACCTCGTAATTAAGTTGCTCGATTACCCGATGGGAACACAAGCACCACAAGGGCAATCGGGCGATGCTGCTCCTATGCTGCGGAGGCGGAAGTCATACAAAGTACGGAGTACCTACACGCTATTCCTGATGTGGAATGGCACAAGGCAAGCTTATCCACCGCACTAACGTGGCTGAGTCAGCAGCACCGGCAAAAATGCAGGGCAAGCGTAATGAGCCCTAACGCACCGAGAGCAGTTAGACTCGCTAAGCGAGCCACTAGCTCGACTCTCTCGGGCGGCCAAACCTGAGCGCGAATTTTCGAGATCGATTTCGACCCGTACGACAACTCCCAGCGCCAGCCCGCGAGACGACGACAAGGTATGTGATATTGCTGTCAGCTGCTTGCCTGTTGCATGCTAATTGAGAACAGATGGTCCTCGCAAAGAAGCACGTCCCCATCGTCAAGAAGCGTATGTCCTTTCTTTTCTCCCTGCTAGTCCCAGCCCAGTCCAGTTCCCAGCCAGAGTACGATCCGTCGGTTGTCAGTCGTCCAGCAAGCATGAGGAATACACACGGTGCGATGGAATGAGAAATCAGACGATCGGAGCGAACGAATCAATTGGTGCGAAAAAAAAAATAGCGACAACGAACGACGAATATGATCGGCGAAGAAATTATCATAAGCGACCGAAATTTCGATTCGATCTGGACGAAGATATTTTACCACCAACATGAATTGACAAGTGCTTGCTGGACCACGGACATACAGCCGGATTGAACTAAACCACATACACACATCATCAAGACGAACGACCCGACTAACATCAAACTCCTTCCAGGCACCAAGCGTTTCTGGCGCCACCAGTCCGACCGCTTCAAGTGCGTGCCGGAGTCATGGCGCAAGCCCAAGGGTATCGACAACCGCGTCCGTAGACGCTTCCGTGGCAACATCCCCATGCCCTCCATCGGCTACGGATCCAACAAGAAGACCAAGCACATGATGCCCTCCGGCCACAAGGCTTTCCTCGTCCACAACCCCAAGGACGTTGAGCTCCTGTTGATGCACAACCGCACCTACGCCGCTGAGTACGTTTCACCTGTCTTCCTGACATGACCTCTATAACCATGGAATATACAATGCTAATAAAGAAACAGGATCGCCAGCGCCGTCTCCTCCCGCAAGCGCGTCGACATCATCGCCAAGGCCAAGGCTCTCGGCGTCAAGGTCACCAACCCCAAGGGCCGCGTCACCACCGAGGCTTAAATGGATATGGAATGAATGTAAAGAAAGCCCAAGAAATTTCATCATTTTCATTTTCATTTTTCATTAAACTCTTTCCACTTATACCAACCAAATGGGAACCAACCACTTTCGGGGGACATAAAAAAGCAGCAGCAACAACTACTTCACTGTGGTAGTGGAGTGGCTTGTTTGTTGTGATTGGGGACTTGCGGAGCCTTGAATCATCGCATCTTCTAATGTGGGCTTTGGCTTTGACGTTGACGACGTATGTGCTGGATTGCAGCGTTTCATGATGACTGATTTACATGCATGTGGGTCTTTTGTCATGGCGCTTGTGGTCGTGGCTGGTGCTGCCAGTCTGGGAATAAAAATTCAAATCTTATGAAGACTTTTTGATGACCTCGAAGCGTGGGTGTAGTTGTATCTCGTAGCTTGGTAGTTGGTCCCATTTGGTGTCGTATCCTATCGTATAGACTATAGCTACGTAAATGGCCTAACCTTCTCTCGTTCTTCTCGACAAGCTAGGAGTTCTGCTATTGTACGTACGTAGTATCTAACATCCAGCAGATGGAGTTGTGTTTGTCTATGACGCTTGTTACATATTATGTCCAGTTTGAAGTGGCAGATGAAACTCTTGTCTATGGTGGTATCAAGTAAACGAATCCAACTATGTGACATAATGTAGTCCGTCGTCCGTCATCTCAACATGTCTAAAATCTCTAATTGCAATTGCAAGCAACGCCAAATCATGCACCATGTAACCAAACTAGTTAGAATATGATCCCATCAAGCAGTCGCCTGCGCAGCGGCATCTGCCTTCCTACCAGACGAAATGTCGACTAGGCCGACACCCTGCACAAGAGCAGGGATATTCGACTCCGAGCCGTCCTCCGCGCCAGGCAAGACAGCATGTCCGATAATAATCTCCTCTTCCTCGGGAACAAACACCCAGTCGGGCATCTCGCGCGGTCCCTCCACGCCATCAGGCGGCAGAGCCCAGGTAGGCATCTTGCTAGTGTATTTCCAGCCATCCTCTTTGTCAGAGTACGCCGCGGCGTGGAGAAAAATGCCTAGATCCTCGGGTCTAGGGTCCGAGTAGAGCTCTGTGTCGCAGATCTTGCATCTCTCGCCAGACAACATCTCGCCTTTGCGCTTGTGGTATCTCTCCACGGCGGCCTCGTGCTCGCGCGACATGATCTCCTCCACAACAGAGTTGTCCGTGCCTGGCGGTACCAGAGGCACTGTGGTAAGGTGTGTCCGATAGCTTACGGTGTCGGGGACTTCAGTCTTGCCAATGTTACATAGCTTATCGATGAGCTCGTTGTCGCGCTCGTCGCTGGTCTCGTTCTTTCCGAGATCGGGTCCGAAGACTTTGCGATTGGAGTAGATGGGATCGTTCGAGATCGGGTGTCCGAGGAACTGGAGATGCACGCGGATCTGATGCGTGCGGCCAGTCAATGGCAGACAGTGGACAATACTGTATCCTTCGTCTTCGTTGGTGTAGATCGGGGGTGGAGTCGCCACCCGTCCTTCTGCGTCGGAAGCGCTCTGAGGCTCCGGAGCTTGAGGTGGGATATACGCCAGGCGACGGAACTTGGTCTTTGCCTCCTTGCCAGTGGCACGAACGCGGTTCAAGCCTACCTTTGGGCTCACGGACATGATGGGCTGATCGCAGACGATGACACCGTCAGGGAATTTTCCCTTGACGCGCGCCACATACTCCTTCTGGAGGGTGCGGGCCTTGAGCTTTCCGGTCATGTTCTCTGCAGCTTTCGCAGTCTTTCCGAGGAACATGACTCCGGAGGTGAGTCGGTCCAAACGGTTGCAAGGTCGTGGGACCCATTCCGGATGGCGTTGAGAGCGCATGATCTCGAGCACGGAGTTGTAGTGGTAGCGACCAGCGGAGTGGACGGGCACACCGGCGGGCTTATCAATGACAATCAGATCATCATCCTCGTGGATGATACCAATCTCTTTCCCGGTGACGGGGGGTTCGTGACGGTGCAGGGTATGCGAGATGATCTGGCCGTTCTTGACAACGGTATTGGGGCCAGCAGGCGTGCCGTTGACGGCAACAAGGCCATCTTGTAGGGCTTTCCTCTGTGGTCCAGAACAACTATGTCAGCATATGATTCTTTAAAGAATAGCCAAGAGATGAGAACGTACGTAGTACTCTGCGGGACGATCGCGAAACTCCGACAGGAAAATGTCCACCAATTCACGACCCCGCCAGCGCTCCTTGCAAAAAGTGTTGTAGGTGTAGTGGTAGGGCTTCACCCGGCGCAAGCCGCCTTCAAAATAGTATGGTGCAGGCCATGGGTCACAGGGCGTGATGGCCACCTCAGGGGGCTTCTGAACCGGATCAGGAGGTGGGACTTGCAGAGTGGTGTCGACGGGCACGAGAGACATGATGGGTGGGGGAATCCGACCGCGTCGCAGTAGGTACGCGGTAATGCGAGGAGAGGGAGCCAGGAGGGAGAGCGAAAGTGAGAAGAATGGCAGAAATGAAAGCGAAAGTGAGTTGGAAGGACAGGGACGAGAAATGGGGATCCGTTCCTGAGTTGGTTCCGCGGCGGCGAAAGAAAAGAAAAATTTGGCGATGCGGGGAAATTCCCCGTCTATACTCTCCATCCCGCATAAGCATGGCTGGAATCCCAACTTCAACACAGAACCTTTAACCAAGCAAACTTATTTCAATTTGTTTACTATATAGTGGCATATTGTTAGAAGTATTTTTGCTAGACCTTCAACATAGACTAATACGATTACATTTTGAAGACCATCATAACTATGCAGTGTGGATCTGGAAAGCAGTTAAACATATAATGTTGGTGACCCTCTGGCGGACTTACTACTAGGCGTATAGTCTCACACCAACCTGAACTCAAACCATGCTATCGCATTCATTGAAACTGTTGTTAGTCCACAGCATTCAAGGGCAAACTTCGAATGAGTAGCGTCGACATAAATTTGTCAGGAGAGAAAAATCTACTATATAAGCTCGTCTGAGGATCACGTTGCCACCTTGGAGGTGTCACGACTATTGTATACTTCTACTATAGCTCAAGTCAACCATCCTACTTCCTTAGGGTCTGAAGAAGTGCATCAAAGAATGTATTCGTCATCCTGTAGTAGTATAACTGGATGGGGGATGCCATGGCATGCGATACCAATTGCGTTTTATGCCATTATCTTTCCGAATCTAAGCCATTGTTCCGAGGTCGATCTTGTCAAGGTCGGTTCGTCGACTGTCCAAGTGCGATATGAGATACAGGATAGAAGCAATAGCCCATATGACACAGGACTTTGCAGTTTCATGGAAAGGTGGCCTGCAGATCATAGTTCGCAAGGCGTTTGGGTGGAACCGCTAGACTTCTACTATCACGATCGCATAGTCTTTAGCTCAAGGTGATGAGCAGTCAGGTAGGACTTGACACTTAGCTATTGCCATAGTAATTGACTGCCTCTGATTTGAAGCCTTTGAGTAGACATGCTGCATATTTCAGCATCTGAATTGATGTACTCTGTAGACTGCGCGCACTTAAGAGTCAAACAGCAAATCGAGCAGTACATACTCAATTCACATTGTCAGCTTTATATGTAGACTTTATATAGAACGTAGCCCATGTATGTGGCCCAAGCAAGCTTAAGAATATCAGACAATTCTAAGAAATAGAACCATCCTCATTAATACCCAGTATAAGAAAGCATGCCGCTAACCTGAATGTAGATTAGTTACAAAAGACTTGACACCTTAACCACAAGGTGTCAATCACTTGCTATGACGATCACTTCCGAAAGAGGCAATATAATCGCAAGCAACACCTTTCGAGGAACGCGCCGGCCATCTTGTGGTTCTGTCGTTACCTGCAGTGTTTATCAGTGTACTCTTCTCTTCTCTCGTGAATATAACTAATTCTTTGAATAGACAATACTAGCTTGTAGCATTGAAGATATACATCAGCAGCTCAAGGTAGAACCAAGAAGTGCACGTGCTGGAGCATCTTTCGCGAATCGAATTATTCCATCAGTCTCGTCAGTCAACTGGTAGAGAAGTAAGAGTTTAAGGGCCCTAAAGGCACTCATCAGTGCATTGTGTATGAACCTCTATTGACAAGCCTCCTGCATTTCCAAATCAACATTAGATCCAACGAGCCTTCGTGAGGACCTACTAAAGGGGGCATTGCAGCAGCTATTATTGGCCCTAGCTTATCTACACTCAGAGGCGCATGTAATACATACTGGGTTAGACTCGTTGCAGACCATCCCCTACAAACGGCTAATATGCTCACCAGATATCCAAGCGAAGGATATCATCAAACCCGCAGAAGACGAATCAATCTTCGGGGAGTGGGACGACAGCGAGACTGCGCATCCGAGTCCTTGCATAGATGATAATGAATATACCGTCTACCAGTCTCGCCCGTCCCATCGCAGAAGGGATGGAGTGGTTTCAGGATGCCACTGATCACAGATTTCGGAGAAGCTCGGGTGGGAGAAATGCATGAAGGATTGATCGAACGTAATATTCATCGCGTGCCTGAAGTTATTATTGAGATTCGATGGACAGTGAAGGCTGAAATATGGAACTTCGGAGTGTTGGTGAGCATGAATATACCATTCTACCCATGCTTTTCATCACGGCATCGGCTAACCAGGAGCTCAAGATCTGGGATCTCCTCGAAGATCATCACCTATTTGACGGCAGGGGACCAGACGGTGGCCATTCAGATGCACAGCTTCTGGCTGAGATAGTAGCGATGCTCGGGCCTCCACCAACTGAATTTCTTCGTAGATCACCTCGCAGCCTGGAATACTGGGACACATCAGGTACGGATAGACTTCATCCCATCAGACAATCAATAATAGGTCAATGGAAAGCTTCTAACAAATCCCATGCATCTTATTGGATGACCTGGAAGAATACGCAGAGGGCGATAACAAGCAGATGTTCATACAATTTGTGAAGATGCTTCAATGGGACCCAGAAGAGAGACAGAGCGCCCGTGAACTGATTGACAGAACCTTGATTAGCAAGCCCTTGATACACAGTATCATAATTAGGTCAAGTTATGTACAATAAATCAAACAATGAAAAACCATAATCAAAGTAACAAACAATGCTTGAAAATTCCTGAAGCTAGAATTAGTTCACCAACCACTAAACGCTAAGTAGAATCCCACTAGGCGCGACCGCCCGACGAACGGCTCTCGGGTGACCCTCTCACCCCGTGCAACAACGCCCCAGTTGCTCAGGGCGTTAACTATGCCTCGGCTCAACTCGGTAGCTCCAACCTACCCATCCATCAGTCCATCCCCTCATCTACCATCTATACACATTGAACTTCACCAACCTAACTTTAACACCTACCATACCTCCAACCAATCCTACAATCCACCTATACACACGCAAACCCAACCCACAATGTCCACCTCAATAGCGCTCAAAAAGCGCCGCCTCCGAAGCGACTACATCTACCACCAAACCCACCGAACAAGATGGTGAGCCTCCTCCTCCTTCCCTTCCCCCAATAGCGCCCCCTCTAACAAACCCCAAAAAACAGGTTCGACAACGACATGTACGCCCACCTCAACAACACCGTCTATGCGATGCTCTTCGACAGCATAATAAACACGTACCTGATCACCCACTGCGGAATGGATCCCTTCACGCACAACAACCCCACCCTTACGACACCCACACCCTCCTCTTCTTCTTCCACACCCTCCTCCTTTAAATCCTCTCAGGTGGGCATAATGGTCTCCTCCTACTGCGACTACTTCTCATCGGTTTCATTCCCGGATATCTTGGACCTAGGGCTGCGAGTCACGAAGCTAGGGAATAGCAGCGTGACGTATGAAGTCGGTGTGTTCAAGGAAGGGGAGGAAGAGGTGAAGGTTGTTGGGGGGTATACGCATGTTTTTGTAGCGAGGGAGACGATGCGGCCGACGAAGGAAGGGATGGAGGATGGGGTTAGGAGGGCGTTGGAGAGGTTGCTTGTTCGTGATGGTGAGACCCTTGGGGCGAAGTTGTGAGTAACTTAGTAGGTATGGTGAGGCCTGTTCCTGGTGAATGGGATGGATTGGGAGGGGGGTTGGGGAGTTGTATGTAGTTGATAGAAAGGGATGGGTATACAGAGTACTATTATCTTAAAGTGTCCTGGTGACATTCGTTGGCTAATTCATGTTGAGGATGGGGATGTGGTGTCTCCTGTATCAGATGAGCTGGTGTAGAGGTAGATGGGACTACTGGGAGGGAGCAGGTAAATGATTCCGGTTTACTCCGTACTCCATAGGCATACGGCAATCCCGATTTCGTTCCGACTCACATGTAAATCAACTGCAGCAAAGGAAGAAGAATCCTGCGATGATACGTCTCATGCAGCTGTCATGTCGATCCCATCCATACCCGGACTTGCATGCGCTAAACTTTCCCACAATGTCTACCCGAGTACATCTCTCAATTTTGAGCTTCAAGTGAACCATGACAAATACGTTCATGCTAAGATATTAAGTAGTGTGTAAAAATAGACTGTCCTTTGCTCCATTGTGCGGTTCGCTGAATGATCAGTCACCCGAAATATAACAATTAGAAAAGATGTGAAATGAACAAGAAGACCGCAGGCCAAACCCTCATGTGCTCTATCGCAAAGTCTATCCGATTTTCTATGACCTTGACCCGAACGCCATTGTCGCTTTGTAAACAAGGTCACTGCAGAAAAAGCAGATTCATCCCAGCATTACAGGCTCATGTGTGAATATCATCATAAAAAATAAGAAAAGAAAGAAAAAAAGGCAACAAGAACGGAAGAAAGGCATGTAAGAAAGACACCGCGCTTAAACGCTATCCCATATAGCAATCAATCAATCGTGTGCACGCGCAATCGACCATCGCATGTTCTGTAGAATCCAGCTGCAGATAGCATCGCGATGGTCAAACCGAGTGTGTTGACAGCAAAAGAAGTTTTCGGTTTGTTCCCACTCGAAGACGAAGGACCATGTAAGGATCAGTTCATCTTGTTCGGCAAAATGCTAGCCCGGGACACATTCGAGCTTTCGGGGAACAGCACCCGGCGCAGGGTCCTCGACTCTGCATCGTAGTGCCATTTCTGGTAAGGACCGGGAATGAATTTGCCCTTGGCATCCCATCCGGCCACCCAGGTGTATCCATCATCAAGGAGAAAGAACATGAATTTTTCTGGCTTGGCGCCTTCGTGGGTTTCCACGGTATGCCAGCGGCAGCGCTCCTCCATTTCATGTTCAAAGATGTATCGGTGAAGGATCCGGCAATAGACAAGCGGAACAGGCACTTTTTCGTCGTTATCGTTGCCGTCTTTGTAGACAAGATGCCATCCTCGACCGGGGATGTACTTGTAGATGCCAGGAACGGGACTATCCCAATGTTCCTCTTTGTGGATAGAACCTTGGATGCGTTCTCCACGCTGGAACCAGTAGGTCGGGCAGAACACGTTCCGCAAACAGAGAAAGAGGTTGGGAGCCATGACAACGAATATTGTAGAGGCTTTTTTCTTTTCAGGATGACACGATGTCGAGAGAGATTTTTGAAAACTTCAAAAATGAAGAAAGAAGATCGAGAAACGCTCGCTTGCTGATGAACAGAATATCAAGAAAGAAACAAGGGGTTGCGAGTTGCAACGGCTGGTTATAAGTCGACGTACATCTTAAACAAACAAGTAGTATAACCTGAGAGTAGAAGATGAAGGAGGAAAGGAAAATGTTAGGCAACAATCAATAATGGCTGATTGTGCCCCCAAGTGCTTTGGGAAAGGAGTAGGGTTCGTCGAGACTGCCTCCGATAAGATGGCTCGAGTCCAGGGGAAGGCAAGAGCAAGATGCACGACACGCTGTAACGATGCGGTGTGTGCGAATGTATATGTAGACGTGCCTGGCGACAGTCTAGGCCCGGCCTAAGTTTGGACGGAGAGTTGGTTTTCTTTTTCTTCGCGAAGCCTGAAGGAAGAAAAATCTGGATTGAGGCTGGCTTTAATTATTGGAATTGGGACTGATCGACAGGACCAGGAGACAAGGGAAGCTGGGAAGAGGGGCCGCGAGACAGCTAAAGCAACAGGCGCAGCAGTAGAAGCAGCGGGACGGCGTGGACAGCTCTTTCTTTAAGATTGCTTCTTAGAACCGCATGGTGGCAAGCTCGCATCTGACTGGACAGAAGGGAACAAGGAGCATGGATACCTGTTCGAAAGAGTACGTATCTGGGAAAGAGAGAGAGAGAGGAACAGGACAAATGGCGAGCACCGGATTGGTTTAAAAAGAGGCAGGAATTGAGATGGTGCGCGCCTCCGGGGCGGTCTGAGGTCAGAGTAGGTAGTCAGACGGTCTCAGGAATTGTGGGTGTGGAAAAGTGTGGAAAATTTTTCTTGATGTCACGGGCTAGACCACACTGAGAAGGCGCCCGTCATCCCAAACGGTAGCGTGGGCAACTGAACTTGCAACTGGATCCTTGCCGTGGCCTTAATCACCCTAATCCCACCCTAAATCAATGGAATCTTTGCCCTGCAACAGGAAACTTTGACGCGGGAAACCCGAGCCCCACGGGATCCACCCTCGGGCGATATTTTAACTTTTCCCTTCTGTGTCTTTTTCCGCCATCCAGGCCCGTATTTGATATTCCGATCCTGAATATGTTGCTTCAGAGCTGCGAGGTGTGTGACTCTGATGCGTATACTAGATCATTCCAATCAGCTGTAGAAAAGGTGTGTGAGAGGGAAAGATGAGAATCCGAGTACGAACGTGAGCATCACGGATCACATCATCCTATAGAGCCCATTTCCTAAAATTACTTGACCTCCGGGCTGCGGTGGCTGTGCCTATGGCGCACACTACTCCATGGTGACTCAAGTCCTTGCTTGGTGGCCTTCATCACGACCACCACCCCCTATCAGGTCACCCGAAGCACCTTCGTAGTGAACACTTCACCCTGGGGGTTCGAGACCTCTATCACGAAATCACCCGATCTTGGCTCTCATTTTCGGGCTGGTCTCGATCCTTCCTCGGTTGAAATTTGACTTTCTATCCCTTTCTTCGGCAGCAGTGCTGAGGGTAGTAGCATAGTTCTTATTGTTGGTGTTGCACACCATGTGGCTATCGTGCCTTAGCGAGCTAGTCTGGCTGGCTGCGATCGCCCGATCATGATATCACTAGTGCCGTTCTCCTATCAAAACTTTTAGCAGATGAGCAACATTGAGGTTCGAAAAAGAAATAATCACCGCATTAGCCAGCTTGGCCAAGACAAGCTACATTCTTGGGATCAAATCACAGAAGCCAGGATTATCACGGCCTTGCCGTGTTGTTCATGCGAGTGTGCAGTCATTCCAAGGTTCCTTGTTCTGCAATACACCACTGGGCCACCACAAGTGCCTCTAAGGGTTGCTCAGGCCCCTTTGCTATCATGGACGTTATGGCGGTGTCAAGACCGGCACTGTTTAGGCGGGTTGGAGGTAGACGGGAGTGAGTCAACAGAAGCTCACGGACGGATGTCGCACAGATCGCAGGTCTCCCGCTCTTTCCCAGGCACGAAAAGAAGACGGAACTGTTCAAAGGAGGGGCTGGGAATCCCGTGATTGAGCAGTGGCCAGATGGCCTGGAGCTTAGCTTCACATTCCTTCAGAGCTCTCTCCATACTCCATGCTCCATTCACCATCCCACGCGCCCGAGTCTCTGTTCCTCAACCTAGTACCCTCGCGGAGATGCTATCTCGCATATACTCTCTTCCCAGATTTAGCTTTCACTAACTCATTAGCTATTAAGCTCATACAGCTCTATTGGACCGGTGGTCTATCCTCCGGACTGATGTCTGATCGGGTGTTTAAAGCCTACCAATCACGTCTTCTATACTGTGAAAGTACTGAGCTGTTTACACAGCATGAAATCATCAAGCAATAAGCCTGCGTGATGAGCTGTGCTGTGTTGTGCGCACGCGCCACCTCATGAAGTAGCTGGTGGGTCAAAGAAGTGTTGTTCATTCAATGCTCAAATTATGTCATAACAAAAACTATCATTATTCAGTGATTGTGCCTGGGCTCCGGGTATCGCTGCGCCAGCCGTTGGTATTTGACTGCTTCTCGGAGAACCATTCCTTCGCTCAACTGTGACGTTTCCTTGCGGAAGAGCTCCTGCCATGGGGTCTGGCTTTCCGGCATATTGTAACCCCCACTCGCTTCAAGCTCCTGCTTTCGCTTCTTTAATTCGTCCGCAGGGACAAGGATGTCTACCCGCCGCTGGTTAAGGTCCACTCGGAGCCGGTCTCCATCCCGAAGGATGGCAAGGTTGCCGCCCGCTGCTGCCTCAGGACTGGCGTTCAAGATAGATGGAGATCCTGAAGTTCCCGACTGCCGTCCATCGCCAATGCATGGAAGGGACTTGACCCCTTCTCGCAGGAGCCTTCCTGGAGGGTGCATGTTGACCACCTCAGCTGCACCGGGATAGCCCAGTGGACCAGCCCCGCGCATCACCAGGATACTCTTGTCATCGATGGGGGTGGAGGGGTCCTCTAACCGATGATGGTAATCCTCCGGCCCGTCAAAAACTACCACAGACCCCTCAAACGCATTTGGATCTGCAGGATTCTCTAGGAATTTTTGCCTGAACGGCTCAGAGATGACGCATGTTTTCATGATGGCAGAGTCAAATAGGGTACCGGTCAAGTGAAGGAAGCCAGCATCCTTGAGGAGAGGATCGTCATAAGCTCTGATCATCCGCCGATTCCAGGTATGTTTCCCACGGACGTTTTGTGCTACAGTGTGGCCATTGCACGTCACGGCATCTGCATTCAACTTGCCCGCATCCAGCAGCTCCGCCATAATCGCCGGCAACCCTCCTGCTCGGTAATACTCTTCCCCTAGGAGCTCCCCCGCCGGTTGCATGTTTAGCAAGAGCGGGATATGGAACCCAAGGCGATCCCAGTCATCTAGCGAAAGATCCACCCCAATATGCTTCGCAATGGCGTTAATATGAATGGGAGCGTTAGTGCTGCCACCAATCGCCGTGTTGACAGCAATGACATTCTCAAAAGCCTCCCTGGTCATGATGTCACTTGGCTTGCGATCGGAGTGCACCATCTCTACGATCCGTAACCCGGTCTCATAAGCGCATTGAGCTCGTTCACGGTACGGAGCCGGAATGGCAGCTGACCCAGGCAGGGCCATGCCAAGAGCTTCTGCAAGCGCATTCATAGTTGATGCCGTACCCATAGTGTTGCAGTGACCTGCTGACGGTGCACTAATGCGAAGCGTTAGTCAAAACAAGGAAGTGTGTCCGATAATTCGTGACATACCCGCGGGAAATGTAATCTACAAATTCCTCCGTGGTGATCTCTCCTGCAGCGTGCATCTCCCTGCCTTTCCAGACCACCATCCCCGAACCAGCCAATTCGTCCTTCACATAGCCATTGAGCATGGGACCGACGTTGAGACATATAGCAGGGATGTTCTGGGAATCCGAGTCAGTTGGGCAGCTATGGAAGAATATGATGCAAGCCTGGCAGAACAACATACGACTGTGGCGGCAGCCATCAGGCATGCCGGGGTTGTCTTGTCGCACCCGGTGAGGAGGACCACCCCGTCCAAGAAGTAGCCATGAAGGATTTCAACGAGACCAAGATAAGAAAGGTTCCGGTCGATACAAGCGGTGGGTCGTCGGCTAGTCTCTTGAATGGGGTGAGTGGGGAACTCGAAGGCGATTCCGCCAGCAGTTCTGATACCCTCTCGAACCCGTTTGGCAAGCTCCAGGTGATGACGGTTGCACGGTGCCAGATCGGATCCGGTCTGAGCTATCCCGATAATAGGCTTGCCAGACATCAGTTCCTCCCGAGTCACACCATAGTTAAGGTATCTTTCAATGTACAAGGCCATCATTCCTGGATCGCCTTCGCACTGAAACCACTTCGTGGACCGCAGCTTGCGTCCGGCTTTCGGCGTGCTGCTTGACGAACTCTTCATCGATGCAAGAGCCTTTTCAAGTTCTATGGTCCTCTTCCGGAGGGCAAGCAGCTCGGTTTCACAATCTTCAATATTAACCACTCCTTTGCTGCCACTGTCGCTGCAAGAGCAGCCCTCACACGAAGCCTGCGACTGGCACGACATGTTGGATAGTCCCTTATTTGTCGACGTGATGCCTGCGCCTAAAACAGGCCACTAGCTATATGGCTATTCAAAGTCACTATGATGGAGAGAAGCAGGGTCGCAAGATAAAGACCGCTGCTGTGACGCCTTGACACCAAGAAGGTTACCCCGGGATTTGGAATGCGGTGCGCCGGGGCCGAGTCAATTCGGCGGAGAATGTCCGAGTCAGATTAGCCGCGTACCGAAAGGGGCATCAAAAGAGAGCGGAAGAAAAAGCAATGAAAGGTTAAATAACGACTCGGAAACTATTTGGATCGAAGACTCAGGCACAGTGGGAAAGCAGTCAATTAAATAGCCAGCAAAACAGGCGCTGGATGTGTAATGAGGACCCCGTACCAATGTTTCGGAAATCAGCCTTGGATCGCGTGGCTCTCGGCTCGGGTTGGTTTAGTTGGTTGGTCGAGTCGATGAAGATGGAGCCCGTGGGAGGTGTACCCCACGCTATATCCATGGGGGCACGGGGGGGCCTGGAGAAAGAGCATGGGGGTTACAATTCTTCTTTCGGTCTTCATGCATTCCGTCATCCCGAGTGGGTTGAACCAGCACAGTCGGTTCCGGACCAGGGTTTGCAATCCCGTTAATAATCCGCTGCTGTGCAGTTGCAATGCACGGCGTCACAGGTTCGTGTTGGGTTGGGTCGGGAAACTCAGTTTCCCACACCCCATGCGTCGTATGTATTGTAAAATATACTGATGCAATCCAAATAGCTCATAAGTAAACAGAGGAGGAATTTTATACTGTGAAAACAAATGCTAAGGAACTTGCTAGTTGACTGCCTGTCTTATACTTTGGCACAGCGCGAAAAGATCGCTAGACTTCTCGACCAATGTGCTGCAGGCACTATATACCGCTTCCCTGCAGAGTAATGATATGAAGCTATTCAGCGACTCAAAACAAACATCGGAATATCTTGCAATATTAGTGGGTTGGCAGACCTCAAGTAAGTTTTGATAGGACGCGTGATTTAAGCAGGCCTCCCCAACGTGATGTTTGCACTCAATACCAGATTCGCTACTCTTGCGGCCACAGTTTGAACAGTGATTTTGTCACAGTGTCCCGCTCACGCCAAAAAGGAGGAACACCGGTGTTCTTCCGGACAATGGGAGTACTGGGAAGCGAAGGGATGCGCCCATAAGTGCCGGCTTTGTCTGTTCAGTAGCTGAATCAGGACGGTAAGGTAGGTAGGTAGGCAATAAAACCCTTATACAGCTTTACAAAGCTTGGAGTCATAGTTTATTGAAGGGGCTGCGGGCATTTTAAGGGCACGTGTTGAACGCCTGGTTTTCTCTTCTGCACTTATATCCTTCAATATGTGTGGACAGCTTCCGTGTAGAGAATGAGAGGGAGTCGTTCTCCGTTTCCAGTGCGGGACCCATATCTCCTCACACACTTGATGATACTCATAGATCCTCCAAAGCACCTTCGATCATACTAGAAAACTGAGATAATAATCTACCTGCTGCCAAGTCAATTAGTCCAAAAGGTAGGCTTGTCGATGCCCTTTTGATAAGACAGAGGAGGCAGAACTAAATACAGGTAACGACGGTTCCTTTTATGTTCCTTCCAACATGACCCTCGACATGCCATGACATGATCTAGTCAGACTCTATACTACTCATTCTACCGGTAGTTAGTAAATCATCCCACATTGCTTTTGCCTTCCCCACGGGTACCCACAGATTATCAATCGCCTCTACTTGATTACATGACTTGAATTAAGGAGCTCTCTGCACAAGGTTATTTGTCTATGTCAAAAACAGACAATTGCACACCCAACAATCATCATTCCCATCATAAAACTATATTTATCTCATCGATCAATCCACAATAAGTTGACCCGAAACGCCCACGATGCGAGAGAGGAGCTGATCCAGAAGCAGCCAACGAGTCTATCATCATGAGGTGAACTAGCAGAGAGGTATAATGTCCTCGAAAAGGACAGAAACAAAAGAAGGAGCACAGGCAAAACAGATACAGAGGAAGCATAAGCCATGCCAAAAGTCTACTGGGTCGCACACTGCGCAGTCGTCTCACCCTCATCATCATCCTCCCATGCAGAACCCCCCTCGGGGTCATGCGCCCCAAAGTCATCCAGGTTGCCCTTGGGGTCGAACTCTACCTCGTCCACGGTGTCAGCCTGAATAGGGGGTTCCGGCTTGGGCAACAGTTCCTTGAGTTGCTCCAGAACAGCAGGGCTGGGCTTCCATTTCCCGTCGGGGAACTTGATGTTGACGACCAGGTACAGGTCGCCACGGGCATCGCTGCGCTTGATGGGCATACCCTCACCAGGTACCTTCAGGACCTGGCCCGGATACAGAACCTCACCTGGGGTCTTGGGGTGCTGGATTTCGATTCCGCGACCGTCAAGGTGCTTGACTACCACCCGGGAGAAGCCCGTCAGAGCCTCGGCCAGCGTAACATCGATTGTTGCCGTCAGATCGGCAGCAGCCCTTCGGAAAGTCTCGTGCTCCTCTTCCACGATGTGGAAAACGATATCTCCAGGTTCCTGACCTGGCACCTGGTCGGCCTCGCCCTCGAGGATGATCTTGTCTCCTTCCCTAATCACACTGTTAGTTACTGCACTCGAGGCAGTGCGACGCATAGCTAGACTCACCTCGCCCCGCGAGGGATGTAGATCTCCAGCAACTTCTTGGCCTCGGTGGTCTTCTTGCCCTTGCACTTCTTGCACTTATCCTTGTCGACAAAGTAGTCACCCGCTCCGTTACAGGTAGGGCAGGGAACCATAGCCGGAGACAGGAACTGACCCATCGGGCGCAAAATCTGCTTGTAACCTGCGAAGCAATACATTAGCCCGGAGTTCTGCACACCAAGTCCCATAGGTATATAAACCTACCTTCACCATCGCAAGTGGAGCACTTCCTGGCCGTCGCCCTCTCCTTACCACCCTTGCCCTGACACAGAGAGCAAATCACATTCTTCGTGCTGGCAAACTTGACCGTCTTGCCCTTGTACAGATCCTCCAGGCGAACCTCATACTTCTGCTCCTCATCCGGGCTCTTGCGCGGCTTACGCGCATGCGGACCACCGGGCATTCCGCCCATGCCGCCCATACCTCCCATACCACCGAACATCTGCGCAAGAATATCATCCAAATCAGGGCCCGCGCCCATACCCGGTTCACCGGAGCCGTTGAAAGCGCCCATTCCATGGGTATCGTAGATCTCACGCTTCTCTTCGTCGTAGAGGATGTCGTAGGCTTCCTGCACGGCCTTGAATCGGACCTCTGCATCTTGTCTTTCGGCTTCGGGGACTTTGTCGGGGTGGTTTGCTAGAGCGGCCTTTGGACCAAAAAAGTATTAGACTATACTTCAATACTGTGTTCGATATAGAGAATCTGAATACCTTGCGATATGCCTTCCGGATATCATCTTTGCCGGCGCTCTTGTCAATGCCCAAGACCTCTGTAATCCATCATATTCTGATTAGTCGCTGTTGTAATGTTGGCTTTCCGCATTTTCTCTCTGCAGAAAATAAGAGTAGACAAAATATATACCGTAGAGGTCAACGTCCGCTTTCGACACTGAATTATACCAAATCAGTCAGCATACCGGAGGCTCAAGCTAGTAAAATCTAGATTTTAAGCGATAGCGGGAACACATACTGATAGTAGGAAGTAGAGGGTAAGATTTCCGACGAACACAAGCGACGAATAAAGGGTATCAAAGATAACAGTATCAACAACAAGCAAAAGGATGAATGAGTAAAGTCTCAAGCCAGCAAAGCCGTGTGTTCCTGGCGACGAAGTAATTAGAGGAGGGAAGAGAAAAGAGGGAGAGAGAGCGGCTGAGGCCGTAAAAGTAAAAAGGCTAAAGCAATCGCGATAAAAGCAGCGCCCGATAATAATTTATTGCCGCCCCAAACCCACCAATCACATCACATATAATTGCGCTTTCCGCCTTTTCTGTCGGGATTTATCTTTCTTTCTCCGCCATTGATTTTCCCCAGCTTCAGCGCATAATTGTTACTTATATAGCATTAGCATCGGCGTTTTCGATATCTTCCCTGTCACTCGCGATGCTCAGGCGCCCAACAGCCCCCACCATCTGGGCCCGTCGTCCCTGGGTCTGCACCCAATGTCAAGCCCGGTATTCCTCCGTCGCGCCGGGCTCGAATCTCCGCGCTGGCAATAACAACAATACCATCAACAAAAAAACTAAATTGCCTGACTCGCCGGCGAGGACTCGATTCGCACCGTCTCCGACCGGCTACCTTCATTTGGGATCTCTGCGGACGGCTTTGTTCAATTACCTTTTGGCGAAGCGCACGGGAGGACAGTTCTTGCTGCGC